TGTTTTACGCCTCTGTTATCTCATAATTCAGCTGATTCTCCCCAAGAATCATTGTGTGCTTTGCCTTCACCTGGCATCTACATATTAAGTCTTCACTTATGCCCAATTTAGATGATTGAATTATCAGTTTGGATTTATATGTTTTAACTCACAAAATCTCCCTTGACTTTTTTCTAGTTATTATGAAATCAATGTTTAGGACAAAATAGAGAAAAAAAAGAGTTTCTGATGTGCTAAATTTCATATAAAAGAATGTGATTTTAAGATATTTTGAGTTGCTCTCTGGAAAAAAATTCATTTTATTCATCAGATTTCAATTTGTTCTTCAAACACGTATCTGCTCTGTGTAATTTTTTCTGCTGTTTTAGTTATTTAATACCTTCTACTCATTGCTCTTATTTTTTTTTTTTTGTTGGTCATGAGGCTTGAACTCTGGGCCTGGGCACTGTCCCTCAGCTCTTCAGCTCAAGGCAAGCACTCTAACACTTGAGCTACAGTGCCACTTCCGGTTTTCTGGTGGTTTATTGGAGATAGAAGTCTCATTGTCCTTCCTGTCTGGGCTGGCTTTGAACCATGATCCTCAAATCTCAGCCTCTTGAGTAGCTAGGATTATAGGCGTGAGCCACCAGCGCCCGGCTTGCTCTTAATTTTTAAGCAATGGTTTTAAGAATTAGTCATTTGGCTCTAATTAGCCATTAGTACATTGTCTATATCCTGCACTGATATTTTTTGAAAGTGGCCATTTCATGAAATGCATACAACTAGCCAGGTACTGGATGACATATGCTGAAATCATGCTACTCAGGAGGCTGAGATCTGGAGGACTGCATCAGAGCCATTCTGGGAGGAAAAGTCTATGAGACTCCATTTTCAATTAACCAATTAGTAAAAAGTTTTAAGCAGTTGAATACCAGTTGAGAAGCAAACTGAGATTAGCACAAAAGACCAGCGATCAAATCCCACTACCTTCAAAAATGTATAAAATTATTTACATTATTTTACAGGGATATAAAGAACTATGCTTGTCTTTTGCTTTGTGTAAGCTTCTTGATTGCCAGAATAAATATGCAGAGAGGATATGGAGAGAAGCACAGAAGTTTCCTAACTTCTTCCTAGAGTGACCAATAAATATCATTACATTCTCGAGAAATTATGAACGCAGAATTATAAAAGGACAGGTCATTGTGCTCATTGTCCCTCTCCCAGCGTTTTTGCATTTTGCTGGTGGGTACTTCATTATTTCCTATTCAGTATTTGGATACACTAGTAGTTCCTGACTTGCTTCTTGGTATGGAAAGCTGTTCCAGACTCCTTTTGTACATTCCCTACACAAAACCCCAAGTCAGCCATTTCTTTCCGGGATTCTTAGATTTTTTTTTTTTTTTATTTTTTAAATAAGAAAAGCTCTATTTTGCCTTCTTTCTTTTTTCTTATGTCAACACAATCTAGAGAAAGACATGTCAGCAGTACAGAAAGCTGAAAAAGATACAACTCAGCATTCATGTTAGTTTGAATATGAATATGCTTGTTACAGAAAAGTATTGAGGTGTTAAAGGAGGAGTTGGATAGGTGTGAATTTAAGCAATCAGTGACAATGATTGGTTAAGGCTTTGAGGGATGTGCCTTCATTGTCTCTCTATCTCAAATTAGATTAAGGACATTATATAGCTCTCTGAACTCTTAGTTTCTCTAACCACAAAGGATGTACTTACAAAAGCAAATATTCAGATGACTGGAAATTAATATGGTTACTTTCATCAGGTCTTGGCAGTATGAGACATGATAATCCAGTTTGGTTTTTAAACTGCTGGATACTTTGGTTTTATTTGTTATATCCCTGTTGACAAATGAAACAAATGGTAAAACACATAAAATCAGAATTGACCTTTGCTGTAGAACAATTTGTGGTATGCTAAAGCATGGTACTATTTACATCTACTGACCCTCTTCTCCAGTGCTTTCCTTTGCAGAAAAATTTAGTCCTTTATTATAGGCTAACAGAAACTACTAGTAGAATTCATTCATCCTTGTTACTTTTGCTTATAGTATTTCCTTACAATTCATTTCCCATTTTTGTTATATAAATTCCACCCAACTGCAAAAGAAATGCAAGCATTTTCTTTCTGGCAATGTTTATGTAATAAACAGATAAAGAGTAGAGATTGTCTGGAGTCAACATCTAGAATACTACCTTCCCACCTCTGATTGCCTTCTTTCTTTTATTTATTTTTTTTTAATCTTGGCTAACTACATAGTCTCTTTATAAATATGTATGCGTCTGTCTTCATTCATTTTTAGAGTGCTAGATCCTATGAATGTTCCAAGTGGAGAAGTAGCTTTTGAAAGATCATTTGAAAGAATTTGATCTTCATACACACTTCGCCAGAGTAGGAGGGAAAGCCCCGCCACCCCTTCCTTGAGAGAGCATTTTGCTCTGTGACTGCGGTCTTTGTACAGCAGTTGGCTCTGGTACACTTGTCCAGACACAAATTGAGTCCGACAGGACTGACATCTCCTGGACTTTGCTGTCATCTGAAAGGCAGGCATGAAGAAGCGAAGCTGCAAAAGGGGATGGAGGAGGAGGCAGGGAGGAGAGTGGGTTCCCTTTGCACCTTTCCTATGAAGACTTCTAACATTCTAGAGCTATGAAGTGTTTGAAAAGTTGCTTATACATGTCAGATTGATAACAATAGCTGTTTCGGACCAGCTTTCTCCCTTTTAGATTCATGAAGATGAGTTTCAGTGTACAACTTACCTTTTCATGCACCCTCATAAATCTCTTACAAAGAACAGAGGAAAGAGGCTAGCTAGTGGAATGGTAATTAGAATGATTCCTCTTGCCTTTTAGTTTTATCTTCCCTGCATTCAAACCACTCATGCATAGTAATGTAGGTAAAAAAAAAAAGATAGTATCTTACAAAAAAATTGTTCTCATGCTCAAGTTCAGTGTCATGAAAGATCCACGATCGTGTCTGCATTACAATTCTTTTAAAAGTACACGTTATTTTGGAGGATTCGTTTATTTCTGGATATCTCTAGTAGTTGAAAGAGTTTTGTGTGTTTCAGTCATGCTCATACACAAAAATTGTAAGATACTCTGTCATTCTCAAGTTCTTATCATAATAATAGAGAAAGCAAATCCAATCTCCCCCACCCCCTTGTGTACTGTGTAGAAGAGGCTGCGCTGGATTTTTAGAAGGTTTTCTCTAAGAATAATTCTTTGTCTCTTGAAAGACTCTGAAATTATTGCTGGGAGTCAGTCTATCACAACCCCCTTTCTTTTTCATCCCATTCAGGACTACTATCCTTCTTGTATTACTTCTCCCCTGAGATTCTAGCAGTGATCCAATAGCTTTCTCTAAATTGTCCCTGATTTAGCTGTCAGTTAATCTTCTCAAAGCCTAGTCCCATATGTGTCCTTTACTTAAAAAAAAAATAGCTCATTTTCTGGATTGCTAAGTAAAAGTCTTTAGACTTAGATTGGAATCCACAGATCTCTGTGACACATTTTTAAGCCTGAGCCACTTTCTTTTGCTACATCTTCTGTTTTCCTAACAGAGGCCTCATCCTAACCCAGTAGTTCATAAGGTGTGGTCCCCGGACCACACCTTAATATAAATATAAATTCTTGGACTGTACCACAGACCTAATGATCACACATACTCTGCTGTGCTACCCAGATACCTGTTTAAACAAGCCATCCAAGTCTCAATATCTTGGAAGCCCTGCATTCACCCAGACAGGCAACATCCTTTTTCCATAATTTCATTCCCATTATCCTGCCTTTGCAGAGATACCTTTCCCTCTTATTGTGAAATCCTGCTTATCGTTTAAAGCCTAGTTTGAGACAGTACTTTACTCATTCTTGAGCCTGTCTTCTTTTTTAAATAGCATTTAGTTGGTTTTCTTTCCTAGTACAAATCAGTTACTAATTCACACTCATTATCTGGTATCCCTGACGAATCTGGGATTTCATAAAGGATGGAATCATATGAGGCATGATGGATCATGCCTGCAACTCCACCTACTTCAATAGACACAGGAGGATCAAGTTTGAGGCCAGCCAGGGAAAAAGTTAATGACAGCATACCTCAAGAGAACAAGCCAGGTGTGGTAATATACATCTGTAACTGCTACTAAAATGGAAGCATTGGTAGGTGGATCACGCTCCAAGCCAACCTGGGCAAAAAGTGTAAGAGTGCATCTGCAAAAATAATAAAGGCAAAAATGCTATATAGTCAAAAATGAAAAAAAGAGTAAAAATGGAGTGTGACCCATTTTTGTACCTCCAGATACCTTGGACTCCATGGCTCTTTTCTGATTGACTTATACATCCAGTAGGCACTCGAAAAATAGTTTGTAAGTTCTTGACTTTACAGTGAGGATGGAGATGGTCAAGCTGTGGCCTAAGAGGCACGTGAAAACCCTATTCAATCAAAGAGACTCATGATAACTACTATTTTCACTTATTGAAATCAACATAAACTTGAACATTGAAGTATCTTTAATTTAGAAGCCCAGTATGCTAATGTGAGAAATTCTGATTTCTACTGGTTAGCAAAGGAAGTTGAATTAGGCCTGTCAATTCACAGGTAGCCAAGACAGTATCCTCCATTCTGCTATCATGAGTAGACTTTTATCTGGGATGGAGGAGCCTGTCTTCCATCTTTCTTTTGGCTATGCTACTTTTTTGGATTTACACATTCATGTCACATTTCCTATGAAACAGCCTCTTCTTCAGACTGGGTTGCCCCAAAAGTGGCACAAACAAAAAATGCAATTCCACGTGGCTGCTGTAGAATGGCCTGGATATAGGGATGCTAGAAACCCCATATTTTATGCATTGTTATTTCCTAAAGCAAAGACATGACAGTATTACTGTGTGTTTGCAATGGATTGTGACTCTCTGTTGGTGATAGATCAGGGGGTAAAAAAAATTTTAGAGTGAGAAATCTGAACATTTCGTGTTTTCTTCCCCTCCTCTTTCTCTCTCCTCTCAGGCTCTGAAAGGGTTCCAGTTGCAATTTCAGAAGATAGACTCTCTGCGGCTCCCTGGGCAGTAGTGATTGCACACTGCCAGCACAGGCTGCTGACGAGCTGAACTACAGGATGGTGCACATCACCAGGCCGCTGTTGCTGCTCCTTGCCTTCTTCCTCCGCGTGGATGCTGAGAGTAAGCCATCCTCCCTTCTCTAGGGGGCTGTGACCATAATGAGTGGTTTTGTTTGCAGTTGGCACCAGGCTCAAGGCCTGTGAATACATTTCCTTTGGAAGTAAATCCTGAGACACTGTGGGATCCTCCCTGGCGACCAGCCAACCTTTGAAAGGGATTATTGGTGTGATTTCCTTCCCACTTCCTCCCCTGCTTAATGCCTCTTTTCTTGTGCACCTCACTGTTCCTACTGTTTATTTTACTTTTCTTTCTCTTTTTTTTTTTACACCTCTTACCAGCTTAGTGGTAAAGATATTATGAGACCAGTGATATATCTCAAACTGAGGCTAACCAGTTGGAGGTGCCAATAAATAAACCTCGTTTAGACCCATTAGAAATTTTTTTGGAGTTGTATGGATTTTCCTATGTTTAGAAAAATGCACAATGTCACATCGAGCTCAATTAAACTTGCAAGCCCCTTGTAGCTGTCACAGCAGCTGTTATGTACTGTTTCCGACAGCTGTCCTCGGGCACAATATTCAAACAAATCAAGCAGAACTGACAACTTTGTGCCTTGGTCGAGGGTCTGAAGCATAAGGAGCATTCTTTGGAAGACAGACACCCAAGTTTGGATGACTGGACACAATGTGTGAAACTGAAGGTGTGGTCAATTAGCTTGCCAAAGTAATGAGAAGATCTTATCTCCTTTTCAGTTAGGCAATCCTTAGGTCTACCTTGTTCATAATGTGTTTCTTCTTCCATCTGTCCTGTGGTGGAGGGGAAGAGATAGGGCTGCCAAAATAAAAAGCATGTGTCTGGCTTGTGTTCCCTGACATGGGGTGGTTTTCTTGGTAGTGGGTTAATATATGTGAGTTGGCCATCCTTTTTGGAAGAAGTCTCCTGGTAAGATTAAAATGTATAACATCTGTACTCATTAATTATTTTTTTTCCTCCACTGACTATCCCTGTGAGGTTAAATTTGATCCATGTTAAGAATATTTTGAAGACAAGGGTCCTGTGTCATCTCAGCCCCGTCTTATTAATTACATTTTGACAAGAATTCCCTGAATAGTCACCAATTGCTTCATTTAAATAAGGGCTGTGTGTTCTAAAGGGACCTTTTATAGAGGGAAATCATGATGTTATTATTAATCGGATACATATGGAACATTCATGTTTTAAGCACCGTGTTCTCTGGTTAAGAGCGTACATAGTCTCCTAATTAGCACTTGAGAGTATTGGTTTAAGGTGAAGCCAAGGAATTTCTAGTACAATGCCAGGAAATAATTAAGTGGGAAAATATCCAGATGTAAGACGCTCGTTATTTTAAAGTCATTTATGTCAAAATGTATTTTAAAGTTGAAATCTAGATTTAGCTTATTAGAAAGAAATGGGCCATATGGGTTTATTTATTTATTTTGTTTGGACTTAATGCACCAAAATAACTTGTTTCACTCTCATTAATTTTTGGTGAAAACCAATTAAGACTCCCCCTATAATGTTAGATCACAGCTAGATAGTTCCTGAAAATTCAATTATTATAGACCTGTAGTTATCTTTCCATTAAGAAAGAATGTTCTTCTTTTGAGAAGCTATGGCTTGGCTTAACTCTTCAGTGGAAAGTGTAGAGAGAAGTTAAGAGTTTGGGAACAAGTTTTCTTAAGATTGTGTTTTGTAAAGCAATATATGGTGCACATAACACTTACCTATTCTTCTTGGTCCTCCTCTTCTCCTTCTCCCTTTCATTGTCCTTCATTATTTGTCTTACAAGGTAGTCGAACAAAAGAAATTACAGACTATTGTTCAGTAATTTTTAGTTAAATATAGTTACATGAAGATATTTACCAGGCTATGTATTCTTTGGATATCAGTGTTCTTCCCTGTGCCGACCTGTATCATGATCCTCCAATTATGCATACCTAAGGAAAGGCACATGCTACTTTGCCCAAGGATTTTATTGGTTGAGATGATGTCTCTTGGACATTTTTGCTAAGCTTCCCTTGACTGTAGTCCTTCTGAAGCCAGCCTCTGACTTCTGAGTATATACTGTAATGAACCTGAGCTACTTCTTCCAGCTTTGTGATATCAGCTTTTAATCATTTATTATTTTTTTTATTACTTCTCACTCTTCCCACTACTTGAAGATAGGCTCAGGCTTCCAATTTTATTCTGTCTCTTCTGGTTTTGGTATACTATATCTTTTTTAATTAATAAGTTTTTTTATTGTGAAAATACCATACAGAGGGGTTACAATTACATGAGCAAGGTAATACTCTATCTTTAAATGCTGTTCATTTGGCCCTATTGAAAAGAACATGTGTATCCTGAAAGTTCCTGGCAAAGAGGAAAATGTGATCATGTTTTTTTTAAGTGCAATTTAGAAGAAGGAATATACATTATCAATCTACGAGAATGTATTTGTGGTACAAGAAAACAATGATAGAATTGTAGATATAATTTTAGACATTTAAGAATCTTTAAACTCCAAGTGATAAAATTGAGTCCATATGATGTAAGTAGTACAAAAGAAAAATAATCATTTTTGTTATATTAAGGCAATTATTTTAGCCTTTTATTATTCAATCAGATATTCTTTGTTTGGACTTCATTAAACATCCATTCATGCTTGGTTTCTCTTTTACCTTCACTGCATTTGTGTGTGTGTGTGTGTGTGTGTGTGTGTGTGTGTGTGTGTGTGTGTGTGTGTGTGTGTGTGTGTGTGTCCTGGTATTGGACTTTGAACTCAGGGCTTCATGCTCTTTTTTGGCTTTTTCGCTCAAGGCTGAAACTGTACACTTGAGCCACAGCTCCACATCTGGCTTTTTGTTGGCTAATTTGAGAGAAGACTCTCAAGGACTTTTTCTGCTTGGGCTGGCTTTGAATCTCCATCCTCGGATCTCAGCCACTTAAATTGCTAGGATTACAGGTATGAGCCATTTGTTCCTGGCTCTGCATTCCATATTGATCCAAGGAATTAAGAGGTGTAGTTCAAAATTTAATAGTAACTTGCCAGTGCCATTAGAAAATTCTGAAATAATTAAAAACAATCTTTTCCTCTTTTGTAAAAGATTACTTGTGGGTAAGAAATAGAAATAAACCACTCTAGTTTATCATGATAATTTAAAATATCTACCTCTCTCCTTTTTTGAAATAACTAATTCCCAGTACCCTAGGAGTCAGGATTATAATCTGCTCTGTAGAGGCCATAGAAAAGTGTTAACTGTGGTGTTTGCATTAAGTATGAAAGCTTTTCACTAGCCTTAGATCAAACCTAGGTTGAAAAATTGTGATCATATCCTTTAGTAGAAAATTATAGTCTTTGCCATTGTGACTTTAAAATGTCCTACCAATCCCTACTATTATTTTTTAAAAGGCTAAAAGTGTGTGTGTGTGTGTGTGTGTGTGTGTGTGTGTGTGTGTGTGTGTGTGTGTGTGTATGGTATGTGTTTTCATTCCTGTCTTTAATACTCTAGAGGATTTTGTTTGTTACTTTGGAAGGAATGTTTGTATGGTAGAGCTGTGGCCTAAAGAAAGGATCATGTGTGACTTCCACTGAAACACCTTTGCTTGGGCAGAGATTGCCTGTAGTTTAAATCAATTTAACAATAGTGTGAATACAATTAAATATGAATTTCAATTTTGTTAGTGTAATGCTGTGATGAATCTTTTTTCTTTCTGGCAGAGTTTTATAATGGGTTCTGATAGTTTGGTTTCATACATACCTTTAATTTGCTCTTTACTGGTGTTCTTTCAGCTAATTAATTTTTCTGTTGTAAAGATGATGTAAACAGGGTTACAGTTACACAGTTCAGGTAATGAGTACATTTCTTTTTGAACAGTGACTGACACCTCTTCCCTTGTTTTCTCCCAGTTTTTCCCCTCCCGACTCCCATCCCTTACAAGTTATATAGTTCATTTTCAACATTGTGTCAAATGAGGATCACTGCTGTGTTAGTTTACCCTTTCTTTTTCATTTCTTGTTTTTAAGCTGCAATCTGAGAACCTTCTGCTAGCATCTTCTTTTTTAGACCAGTTTTACTCTACTGAAATAGTGTTCAACTTGTTATTAACACATTAGACCTGACATGAATTGTTTGCTCCTATAAGTAGACTTCAGTCTTTACCAGATGTGTTAGATACATAAACGTTTATGTCCCCCAATGGCTTCATTCCTCCATTTTCTCTGTTTTGTCAATTTTCTAAAAGATTTTTTGATGGCAAATGATGGGAATCTGCTTTGTTCTCTTTCTTTTTTTTAATTTAATTTTATTGTCAAGGTGATGTACAGAGGGGTTACAGTTACACCTGTAAGGTAGTGGGTATATTTCTTGTCAAACATTATTACCCTCTCCCTCATGTCTTCTCACACTTTTCCTCCCCTGCTTTGTTCTCATAACTCCATGTTGTTCCCTTCTCAGCCCAATCTTTTTATGTATCTAAAGAACCTACACGAAGGAGTTGCCTCTCCCCTCTTAGCCTATTCTTCCTATGTATCCAAAGATGGGGTATGAAGGATTGACTCCTACCCTGTTTAACCAGGTGCATACAGACCTCAGGCAAGATATGTCCACCAGCGATATGGGCACACTGCGTGACATAGGCAGAGCCATCTTCCTAAGCCTGGCCACTGTGGGCCTAACTGAAAAGCGCCCCCCTCCCATGTCTCTTGACCTTGTGGCTTTCTCATTAACCTCTGTTCCCCTGCTAGACATCATAAAATCCCATTCCTGAGCTCACCTCTTTATACAACGTTAATACTTGTGGGAAGGTCTGTGTCCCTCACTGGCAATAAACAATTCTAGACTTCTATGATCAAGTCTGGCTTGTTCCTTCCTTTCTCCTGCATTTTCCTACCAGCAAATGCTCCTTCATTTTCCTTTTGGTAAAAGAGCCTCCCTCTTTTAATACTTCTTTCCTATATGAGGACTAAAAGGTCCCCCTGTCTTTGGAATTCCAGTATCCCATGGAACCCCCTTATCTCTTTGCCATCAGTGAATAGACTGGTGTTTATGCTGTGAGTT